CTTAGGCTCTCTGATCACCTGAAGCCAAGAACAAGAGACTATCTGAAAGGCTAGGGACCACGTTATTAAATATTCTCCTTCTTCAAACATCTCCCCAGAAAATGAGCAGAGTGACACCATGACCATGACCACCACCATTACCAGACAGCCCCCCACACACACACTCAGAGTTACTCCCTCTCTCATGGGATCACCAGTGTCTTTACTATCTCCAATTAGGGTCTCCTACAATGTAACCAGATCCATTTTTGGCCACATGGGTATACCCAGAAAGGCTGTGTTCCTCTCCAAATAGCCAATCCCCCTGCCTCTATAAAAACTACATGGTCCAAAAGAGAACTCTGCTAAGAGTCAGGAAGATTTCACTTCCATTAACCTGAGAAGCACTTGGAGTGAATGCAGACTCTGGAGATAGTCGGCTTGGGTGGAATCCCAGTTCGGCCACTTAGTAGCTTTATGGCATTGGTGGGAGTAACTTAACCTCTCTGTACCTTGGTTTTCTCACCTATAAAATGGGGATAAAACAGTGCTTATTCATAAGACTGTGTAATGACCAAATGTGTTATGACATGCAAAGGACTTAAGACAGTGTTTGGCATTAGTAAGAACAATATTAACATTTGCTGCTATTATTGCTGTCTTTATTATTATTATTATACTCTTGAGCATGTTACACAGCAAACCTCCATTTTCCAAAACTCTCTCAGATGGACTGACAACATCATCCCTACTCCAGGATGGTGTAAGACAAAATAATTGTAAAATAAACTAATTTCAGATTGCTTTCGTATCAAAGTTAAGAACCTAGGGTACATTTCACATGGCCATGAATTCTTTGCAGCTATTCCATTAGGAGGTGAAATCTACTTTCAACTCCCTCGTAGGCACCACCTGAGTATGATGGCATGAGGGATCCCAGGCAGACTAGCAGAGCCCCGCCCAAATTGCTGACCTGCAAAATCATGAACAAATAAAATGGTTGTTGTTTTAAGCCACTGAGTTTCTGGTGGTTTCTTATTATGCAATAGATAACTGATACAGAGCCCCAAACAAATGAGGCTTTATTACCAACAGCATTTCCAACACAAACACACACAGGAAACCAGGCCACTTGTCTGTCTGTCATCAGGCTTACCAACTACCACACGGTGCTGCCAAGCTCTCATCCCGCCCACCTAGGGCCACCAAGGCCACCAGTCAGCTTATTAACTTGGGAAAAGCTAAGGCTGATTAATGATCAAATCTGGGGAGACAGAAGCAAGCTTTCTGTGCCAAGGTAGGTGCCAAATTAGGTCTCTGCAGAGGGGGGTGGTATAGAAATACAGGCCCAAAATGGCAAGATTTGGCTTCCTTGGAAGTAGCTTTATACCATGTGTCTTAAATATTGCACAATGAAGTAGGTAGATGACCTCAAGGCAAAAGCAAACCAATTCAAGGTCCACATCACCAAGTGAGAATCAGGGACAGCCAGTCAGAACCAACCATGTAATCCCCATGGTCCATGGCTCCAAGAAAGCAGGGAACCCAGAACATCTTCACTTTTTTCTGCTGGTCACAGCAAGAGAATGATTACATTCCAAGCTTTGATTTTACTGTGACCTAAGCAAAAAATAACCTCTCTCTCAACTCACAACACAAAGGGAAAAAATACCAAGTTCCATAGATCAGTATTCTATCATCTGTAACATGTGGGAAGAACTGATAATTAACTTTGTAGGAAAATCACTCTGAAATACATTATGAGAAACTTTGGAAGCTTAAGTTCCTGTCTGTTAAAAGCAAAGCCACCACATCTAAATGAAAACAATCTTATTAATCTGATAAGTTGGATGACCCATAGTGCTAAAGGTTCTTAGATGAAGACCAGTAGCATTCATCAGTCCGTGTATTTGTTTATCCATCCCATATTTGTTGAGCACATACTTTGTACCATATAGTTTTGTGGGTGTCTAGGCATGAGAAAGTTGGGGCAGGGGGAAAGCAGAGAAATGAAGATAGCAAGGAGTATATAAAAGTAGTCAAGACATTTCACGTTTCAAGAGCTTACAGGTCATCTTGAAAAACAAAATTCCCTGCTTGAAGCAATTCAGAGTAACCCAGCTGAGCCCAACCCAAATTGCTGCATCAATTGGAACTGATCAGGTTATAAATTAAGAGGTTTCGGAAAACTCCTGTTTTCATGGAATTACAAAGCTAACTAGATGTAACTGGTCCACAGATGAAGATGCTAAAATGAAGTAATTTACCCAAGGACTCAACAACTGGTTTCAGTACAGAGCCAAAATCTGGGTCTTGTGGGCTCCAGGCCAGCAGGACTTCCACCAACCCCATAGAGACCCCTTTCAAGATACAAGGTATTTACAATGTGACGGGGCATAGACACCCCACAATTCCAGCCCATTTGGCAGTGGACAGACACTGACCATCCAATACAGTGAGCAGAAACTCTACACTTGGGGTACCTGCGTGGCTCACTTGGGCTTCCAACTCTTTATTTCAGCTCAGGTCATGATCTCAGGGTTGTGGGATCAAGCTCTGGACTCAGTGGGGAGTCTCTGAAGATTCTCTCTCCCTCTCCCTCTTCCTCTGCCCTCCCCCAATGCATGCACATGCACTCTCTCTCTCTGAAATAAATCTTAAAAAAACAAACAAAAATAACTATGCATTTGTCACATGGGAGCAACTCAAGGATACAACTTCCTATGGAATAAACTTTAGAGCCCTGTAACCATATATGCTTGAGTGCTCAAGCAGCCATTAAAACAGGCTTGTAAGACAAAGGCACAAGAAAATACTTATGTTAGATTTAAACTTCAAAACTTAAATATGTACTATGTGAATAAACTACACAAAGGTAAAAATAGTAGCAAAACACATTAACGTGTTCATGACTGTAAAGCTGGCATTTTTTAACCCTGGATGAGTTTTATTCTTCATTCTTTCTGGGTTCCCTACAGGCCAAACATTCTTCAACATTCTTGAACTACTTACAAGTTTTTTAATGTTTTGGCTACCTCGATGCAGAAGAGACACAATATCAGTGGTGGTCAGAGGGCAAAGGGCATGTGAGCAGGGGCAAGTGTGAAAGTCACGTGGAGGGTCAGCCCTGCATATTCATATGTGGGTCAAAACCTCACCGTGCTTGGCCCCTGTTCTGTGCTGTTCAGTCGGTCGTATTCCTGATCTACCACTTTTGGCTTGGCTATCTAACTTTGGGCAACTTACCTACTCTTTCTATAAAAACCTGTTTCCTGGGAGTGCCTGGGTGACTCAGTCGGTTAAGTGCCCCACTGACTCTTGATTTCGGCTCAGGTCCTGATTTCAGGGTCGTGATATGGGGCTCCACGCTCAGCCAGGAGCCTGCTTGAAATTCTTTTCCTCTGCTCCTGCCCTGCTGCTGTGCACCTGCGTGCATGTGCACGCACTCTCTCTCTCAAACAAATCAATCTTTAACCCTCAGTTCCCTCAACCCTAAAAGATGGATATGAATAGGACCTTCCTCATAGGACTGCCATGCAGATCGAGAATAATGACAACAAAATGTTTAGTCCAGTGCCTGGCAGAAAATAGGAGCCAGCAAATGATAGCTGTCACGATAGAGATGTCTAATATCAGTTATTATTTTTTATTGCCATTGTTATCACCATTATTATGATTATCAGTATTAGGATGTTCCCAGCACTGTGTTTAACACTGTAACTAAAAATGCATTAAGTTTCCTTGCTTTGGAAGACAGCCCAATGCTCTCCACACATCTCATTGCTGGACTGTCCCTTCTCTGATCTCCATACTCTCTGGGTTTATTAATAATAGACTCTTCAGTTGAAGTAAGAGCTTACACACCACCTAATATGCCCGGAGGGAAATGGTGATAACATACAGATTCCTGCTTGTTTTCTTGGGCCTAATTAGGAGAATACAATGTCATCCTTTAAAAAAAGAAAAAAGGCAAGCAGTAAACCATCTCAGTAGATATTCTACAGAATTCTGCTTTGTGCTTGAAACTTGTAATTATCTTTAACAAACATGGATGCTAATAATTCTATCTGCTCTTTAGACAAGAAACAAGAAGATTTCTGGCTCCATCAGCTCACAATCTCAGACAACTTCCTTTGGAGGCTGCCTCCCTCACCCATTAGATGCAAGGTGGGAGGTCTGTTTGCAAAGCAGAGGGCTTCTGGGCTGGGAGCCAATAGCCCACATCAGGAAGAAGACTCCTCAGCAGACCAGGCTCAGGTCCCTGAGGCCTCAGAAAGATATTCCCCAGCCTTGGCAGCCTGACCAGAGAAAACCAGATCTCAGATTCAGTTTTTTTCACTGAGAAAATAGAGACAGGTCCAACAACTGATCTGGTCAACATGTACATTAAGCATCACACCCAAAACGGAAAGGGCACATGAATGAAGTAAAAAAGCAGTCATCAGTAAAACGTACAACTTTAAACATGCCCAAAGAGATGCTGTTGCGTCTTCTATTGGAGTAACACTTTCATCCTATTTTGGATCGGGAAAAAATTTTCTAATCCTTAACATTTAAATGTCCTATAATTACAAATGCTCAGTAATTAGTGCATGCACTTCCTAAGGAAACTTAGCAATGTATTTCATTTGATCTAGACACTTCTGAACATCACTCCCTATCCCCCACATATTCCTGCCCCCATCACTGGGATGGTCAACTCTGGAACATTCTCTTGTAATTAACCAAATTAGTGTATTATGTGGGAAACAGAGGAGTCTTTCATCCACTAGTCATTCCCTGGGCATGGGGACTCCCTCCTTGGGTTCACCAGAAATAAGACTTAAGCCAAAATCTGCCTTCCAAATCCCGGGACCACAGTGAGAAGCGCATGGTGAGGATGGGCCAGAAAATCTGGCAAGTCATCCAGGAGACAGGCAAAGGACAGAGTCCCAAGATTTCCAGAGTCTGCCCGGATCCCTGATCACCTAACCCAGAGCTCCCAAACGAAGAACAAAGTCTGTCATCGCTTCCATCCTTACCTCCAGAGAGAGTGCGGTGGTCAGGCTCCTCTCTCCGACTGACTGTGAAGAGGTCTCTGCCCACACACAGTAACCAGCCTACCAAAAACAAAAAGATAAGGTAAGAACTACTGTGGGCGATGCGTTACATTCCTCAACAACTGGAATGTTTTCTAACAAAAAAGCAGGTCTCCGAATGTTTGAAAACCTTTCAGACTACAACAGCAGCAACATAGTCAACTGAACAATATCAAAGCATGAAATCCCTGGAATCAAGTCAGGTGGGGCTGTTCGAGGTGCAGAGTGAGCTAACGTTTTATTAACACACACCTGGGGCCCATCTAATTGGGAACGGTAATAACTGGTGAAATCATATACCTCATCACGTCCCTCGACAAAAATGGCTGTTTACCAAGGAGCTGGCAGAACTTTGTATAACACTTACATATATCAGGGTATGTTGGCAGGTCAGAGCATTCACACATCCACACACTCAACACATCCACACACAATGAAGACTCTATGCCATGTAACTAACCCTGCTTTGGAAGACAGCCCTACCGGCTGATGAAATGATGACAACATGAGACTTGAACCTAGATGAGGGGGTGGGAGGGAAATGCAACTTTCTTCTACATGCACTCAAAGCAGCACATGGGAAAGACCACACTTATGGCCCATTTTAAGGAAATTCTCTTGTATATTTATGGCCCTAATCTGCGATGGTTAATTCTGTGCTTAATCAACTTGACTAGGCTATGGTGCCTGGTTGTTTGGTGAAACCCAAGTCTAGATAATTGTTGTAGAAGTATTTTTTAGATGTGATTAACATTTAAATCAGTAGACTTTGTTGATCCATTACTAGACAGACACACACACATACATACATACACACACACACACACACACCCTATTGGTCAGGATTCTCTGGAGAACCCTAATACACCATCTAAGGTCAAGAAAGAATGAGTTAACTTGTAAAATATGTATACGATGTGAAGAAGACAAAACAAAAAAAGAGGCTAGAGCATGATGAATAGTCCAAAGAAATGTATTTGGTAAGGTATTAAACTATTAGTTGATGTAGTTCATAAATTAGGTTCTGAGCATCCTAGTGGCCAAAGCAATGAAGAGACACAATCACACTGACTCTAAGTACAATGTACACACTTCAAGAGTGTTAGCTTTTCCTTGTTATTAGGAAATTTCTCCCAAGGTGTTACCCTTTCCTTCCCACATCCTTTATCATCCACACTGAAGGGTCAGGAGGGAAAGTAATTAATTAGAAGTGCCTCTATATACAGTAGGGAGTCTGCTATAATGCTTCTTACTGCATCCCTCAGTGAGAGATAGGATGGCAAAGCACAATTCACTGAAGTGATTTAGCAAGGCCAAAAAGAAGCCCAAGCACATAGCAATCTGATCATCTGGCTTGATCCAGGGATAAAAATTAGAATTTCTGGAACAATGAATAAACCCTATATCCTTTGAGATATGTCCCAGAAATTTTATTTCTCCCAGTGAAAAGCTGGGTAGGAAGTGGGCTACACTGTATGAGGCTGTGGTCCCTGGCAATTGCCTGGAGCAAAGGTTTTCTCTATTGCTGATCAGGGGGCAGATCCATAGCAAAACTGCCCTCAGATAGGTTTATAAGTTCAGGTAATACATGTCTGAGAAAGGTAAGGTTTAATTTTTATAGGTTTGCATTTGTAGAAGTCTTATATACCCTTCTTGCTTTAGAATCAATTTTTAAAAAATTTTTTATTATGGTAAAATATACAAAAAATTTACTATTTTAACTATTTTTAAGTGTGCAACTCAGTGGCATTAAGTATATTCACAATGTCGTGCAACCATCACCATCATCCATTTCCAGAACTTTTTCATCATCCCAAACAGAATCTCTGTACCATTAAACAACGACCCCCACGGGCCACCCGCCCTGCCCCCTGCAGCCCCTGGTAACCTCTATTCTACTTTCTGTCTCTATGAGTTTGCCGATTTGAGGTACCTCATATAAGTGGAATTGTGTAATATTTGCCCATTTGTGCCTGTGTTTAACTTAGCGTAATGTTTTCAAGGTTCATGCACGTTGTGCCATGTACCAGAATTCCATTTCTCTTTATGGCTGAATAATATTCCATTGCTAGTATATACCACATTGTGTTCATCCTGGAATGATCTTTTATGTAATTAACTCAATTACTGAATATTTACAATGTGAGAGGTCTGATTTTTTTCAAACATTATCTTTAGTCTAAGAACAGTATGTCAGAGTCAGAAGTGCTACTCCAGAAGGAACCAATTAATTGTATAAATCCTAGTTTCAGAATCAGTAGCAGCAGCAAGAAAACAAAAGTCTAAGTTTCTCTTCCCTAAGGGTTAGGTAAATCTCCCCCATAATCTTAATTAATGTTCTTCATGTTTAAAGCTGAAATGAGATTAGAATATCCACACTATGTGGCCAGTGTGCTCTGAAATGCTTCATATCCTGGTGCCTAAAGCTTATCAAGTGTCATTTTAATGAGCTTCTATCTAAACAGCTGATGTCAAGAAGTCAGAGAAACTGCAGTCCTGTGAAGCACTACTTTTTATCCCTACAGATAAAATACCCTGACAGAATCAGCTAGAAAAGCACATCTTCCCCCTAACTGGCTTGCCATCCATCAGTTTTTTATTTCTAGACATGCACATAAGGGAACAAGTCTTCTGGGTGGACACGTGGGTCCTGAGCAGCACACAACACCTCCCCAGCAAGACAATTTAATAGTTGAAAGAGAACGTGAGAACCTGCACTCCACTCTGGGTTTCACCTTTAGAGCATATAAAAGAGCAGATGGCGTGAAGGAGGGATGCCACCACACACCTGAATTCACAAAAGTGGCCCAGTGTGAGTCATCAAAAGATGTCCGCAGGAAGTTGATGAAAACCCACCATCTTTGCACACTGACAAGGGAATTGCAAGCAAAAATCAAGAGCCATAGAGGATTTAGGCCACTTTGTTCAGCATAAACGTCTCAGCTGGGAGGATTTGCTGTCACCCCAGATTGTTAACAATTGGCTGAGCTGAACTTCATTACTACTTTTGTGTTCAGTTAACTGGGAATATGTCATTCAACCAACAAAAGTGGTTTTAGAAAAATAGAATTTAGCCTTGAGCTCCTCCTGTATGTTTTTTAAGACTGATTTTGAAAGCAGGAGTTTTTTGTAGATCAAAACAAAATGAACACTGTTAAGATTGTTCTTTTTAGTTTTTAGCTAAACAGTCCATTGCCTCTGAAACAGGAGACATTTCCATGGGTTGTAGAAGCCAGCCCCAAACAGGCTGAAAGTAGGATGCTAATACAAAGATCTCAGAATTAGCCTAATTGGGAAACCTCAGAATGAGAAGACACTCAGTTATCTGTCCCAAGTCATTACTCTACCCCTCTTCTCAGGACATCAATAATATGCATTTTGGAAGTGGATGAGGGGCACAATTGGAATATGAAAATTTCATCTGTGATAATCAGTCTGATCCTCCAACTTGTGTTAAATTCATTCAAACCTTTTGCATGCAAACACACAAACACCCCAAAAAATATCTTCCCGTGGCTTGGATCTATTTTCAAGTGGATCAAAACAAGAACCCTGACAAGGCGGGGCCCCTGGGTGGCTCAGTCAGTTGAGCGTCTGAATCTTGGTTTCAGCTCAGGTCATGATCCTGGGGTCGTGAGATCGAGCCCTGTGTCAGGTTCCGCGCTCAGTGCAGAATCTGCTTGGGTTTCTCTCTCCCTCTCCTTCTGCCCCTTCCAGCCCCCTCAAATAAACAGTAGTAGTAGTAGTAGTAGTAGTAGTAGTAGTAGTAGTAGTAGTAGTAGTAGTAGTAGAACCCTGATAAGAGAATCAGGGTTCATGAGAAGTATAAAATTAAACTTGAACCTGGTAGAATGCCAATTCCTTTCTGTTGCGGGCTGAATTGTATCCTCTTCCATGTGGACACAGAACACGGATCCAGGAGAGCTGACTGAGGTCTTTATTAGTGTTGGGAGCCATGAACACCGTAGCTTAATTTTCACTCTTCCCTCCAAAATTCATATGTTGAAATCTTAACACCCCCGCAAGTACCTCAGAATGTGACTATATTTAGAGATAAGGTCCTTAAAAAGGTGATTAAATTAAAATGAGGTAGGGTGGGCCCTCATCCAATATGACTGCTGCCCTTATAAGAGGTAATTAGGACACAGACATGTACAGAGGGAAGACCATGTGAGGACAGAGGGAGAAAATGACCATCTGTGAGTCAAGGAGAAAGGCCTCAGAAGAAACCAAACCTGCTCACACCTTGATCTCAGACTTCCAGGCTCCAGAACTGTGAAATAAGAGATTTCTGCTGTTTAAGCCACTTAGTCTATGGCCCTTGTTATAGCAGCCCTTCCCTTTTTCCTTCTCTGAATACCTACATTTCCAGGTAGGAGACCGTACAGGTGACAGGGACACTCTGTCTCCTACCTCTTCAAGGGGTTCACTCTCATTCATTTCCTTATCCCCAACCAGGATGATCTAGAAATCCAAAGTGACAAGTAGGAACACCTCAAGGATACCCTGAAGATAACCCTACTCTACAACAGGGCACTAGTGCCTGCCCCAAGACCTCTGACCTCCGAAACTATGGGAACTTTCTCTGTCTTTCCCAAATGCTCTCTGCTAACCAGAAGTCACCCTATAAACACTCTTGGGGATACTGTGCCCAGACACTGAGTCTTCATTTCTCTTGCCTCAATACCCAAGGCTGGCTCAGATGCCTTAACCAACCTTAATTCCCTCTCTTCCTAAAAAGAAAAGGAGAGGTTGGGGGCCAAAGAGCTTTGCACATTACAGAAATGAGTCCGGAGCAAGAGATTATCAGGGGTAAGAGGACTCCCAGTTGCCTCAAGACTTGATTCACGAGTAATTACTTTCTCCTTCACTGGAGAAGTTCATACAGGATTGCTGACTGATGTCTTCGTTGGTGCTGGGAGCCATGAACACCGTAGCTTAATTTCCACTCTGCATAGATAATGTTTGCCCTATAGCATGGTAGGCATTGGGTCTGGCTTCAGGCACTATGGACTGGACTG